CGACAAATTTTGGTTAAATTAAAATAAATTCGCTATTAATTTTGTTGTATAGCACAACAATATTAATATGAAGTTAATCGAAGTTTTGAGACACTTTAAATGCTTTTTTTCAGAAACGCATCCAACACTTGCGACGGTCGGGGGGTGGGGCAGCGGTGCACGACTGCTCTCCTGAATAAGTGAAACGTAACACAGTTATAAAAATATTTGACCAAAGAAATACCAGAGCAGGACTACAGAGAGAGATAAATATGATTTAGATTTTTATTTCTGTGACTACGACCCACAGGAGACACAACATTAACAGCATATTTCATTCCTCGGCTTTAAAGCAGCTCCTTTAATTCCACAGCTGACGCTGCTAAAAATGACATTTTGTTTTTTTGGATCTCTGACAGCAGAACTTCAATCTCCAAACTAGTTCTTCTTTTTACTTTGCGATGTCATTCATGAATGGACACTTCCTGGTATGTGGGGCAGGAAACATAGCCTTATATGGTGTTTTTGGGGTGGTAATTATGCTAATCTCCTCTCCTCGAGCACCTGATACACATTCATCAGTTCACGCTGCTCATTTACACACTTTTCCTGAAGATAGRAGAGTTTGTTGAATCTGACGTGACATGTTCGTACGAACCCTTTGTAYGAACAAAAGTAAGAGAAATTTAGGATAAGAATACGAACATGTTCTTACATGAGACCCATTGTTTTCCATTGAGAAGTGTTCCCACACTGTGGACATGGTTACTTGTGTGCGTCTTGACCTCTTAACGGCAGTTGTAAAGCATGATGATGCTGAAAACTGGATCGGCCCGATCACGACTAAATCCCATTCTACCCGATTTTCAAAAAATGGCCATATCTGCCACCGATACTGAGTCTGTGATCGGGACATCCCTACCTAGAACACCAAATTGTCTAGAGCCGACCCTGATCAGCAGGTTTCCTCTGGACCCAACCTGGTCTCAGAGCTCAGGAGTTCCAGGCCTCAGATCACTGAGCTAACGTTGCTCCTGTTCATAGTTTATTTCAGGAATTAGTCTGCACCATGAGGTGCAGGGACTCTAACACTGGGTACAGTCAGGGATTAGATGTTCTTCCCGTCATCATCAGGACAGAAACATTTTATATTTATGTGAGTTTAGACTTTCTGTTCTGAGCTGAGACCTGCACTTCTGCCAGTTCAGTCCTGATGGATCTGAGTTCTGTGGATCTGGACCTTGTTCTGACTCCACTGAGTTGTTGGTGTGTGTGTGTGTGTGTGTGTGTGCGTGTGTTTCAGTTCATGAACGTATATAGACATGTTGACAAGTGTTTATTGTATTTAGGTGTTGATGGGGTTGTTTCAACCCTCTAATAAAAGAAAACCTGCTGCTTCAAATACCTCAGTGTGCTAATCCACGCTTATGTAATGTGGTACACACACACACACACACACACACACACACACACACACACAC